AAAACCCTGCCTGTGTGTCTGATTTGTACAGCCAGTGGGAGTCTATCGTGCAGAGCTGAACTAGACCTGCATGTGATTATTATTATTATGACAAGGAACCTTATCAGTCAAAATGATAAGAAGAATTCATAAATCCAGGGCTGAACTATTCAGAGGTGAAGGGATGATGTAGTGTGTGTAGCTGCCTGGAAGCATTGTCTTCTGTATAAAGGAGCAGAGGAAATAAGTGTATACCATGCCTGCCTCATCGCTCACCAGGGTCACTCAGGGATAGCCAGTGTCCTGGGTTCAGAGTCGGTTGTTTTTGGCTAATGTTGGCTGCTGAATCAGCCAGGGACACTCTGACCTACGTGAGCCAGTTGAGCTGCAGCATGGTGGACATTTGCTACAGCTACCAGGTGAAACAGGTCACGAGCATGGCTGTGCTCACAAGCCACCCCTAGGATTCTAACAGGAGGTGTTCTTTGGTGCTAGCCTGTGCCCTCATCCTTCCCAAAGGGTATTTTCATCCCTGCTTTTATGCCAGCCTTTGGGCGGAAGAGCATTAGAGGATGGGGGGAAGGGAAACGTACATTGCTGCAGTCTCTGCTGTGTGGATTTCTGAGTGCAGTGCTGTGCTTTCACTAGTCCTGTCTCTTTTTGCTAGCATTGAGTACTGGTTTCGGTGCATGGACCTGGATGGGGATGGAGTACTCTCCATGTATGAACTGGAGTATTTTTATGAGGAGCAGTGTGAGCGGATGGAAGTGATGGGCATAGAACCACTGCCATTTCATGACTTGCTGTGTCAGATGCTTGACCTTGTTAAGCCAGAGAGGGAAGGTAAGTCCAGTTTAATGGGATTTTCCATCCTCTTTGATCTATGGTGGATTGAGAAAGTAATGTCGCTGTGAAGTCCATCTATAGGTAGAGCTTTGTGTTATAATCACAGGGCTGAAATTACTGCACAAGGTAAAAGTCTAAACAGTGGCTATTGTGCCATAATGTTATGCATTAGGAGGTTTGAAATAATAAAACAAGAGACTTCGTGAATTAACTTGCTGGAACTGGAGCAACAGATCTTGTACATTGCAGCTGTGGGATGTGCTGATGGTCTAGATTATGAAACTGGACCATCCCCATTCACATTCCTTCATATTTCACATGAACGTAAAAGACCTCCTTATGTATATGAGATTTAAGCCTAATAAACATACCCATTTATTGAATAATGTTAAAATTTTTGATTGACTTGGGAAGAAATTTTGTAATATTGTAGCACACTGGTGTTATGACTAAAATGTTGATAAGACTGACAAGGCCCAGTCTTTCACTAAGAACTCAGCACAATACTGTGGGGTTTTTTTTTTTTTGCAGGAAGAGTAACTCTGCGAGACCTGAAGAGGTGCAGAATGGCTCATGTATTCTACAACACCTTTTTTAATTTAGAGAAATATCTGGACAATGAACAGAGGGATCCCTTTGCAGTGCAAAAGGTATAAATCACCTTTATTTCTAAATACAGGCCTTCTCAAACACATCTTTGGAATGCAACTGAATGTAGGGAGAATCCAACTGAATATCAGAAAACCTTTTTCACAAGTAGGGTGGTCATATACTGGAACAGGTTACCCAGAGAGGCTGTGCAGCTTCTGTTCTTGGAGGTTTTAAAGATGTGACTGGACAAAGCCTTGAGCCCCATGATCTGACCTCATAGCAAGCCCTGATTTGAGCAGAGGCTGGGACTAGAGACATCCTGGGTCTCTTCCGACAGAAATTATACTGCTATTCTATGATTCGGTTCCCATCACTGATCCTACTACACCAGCACTGGCAGTGCAGTGTATGACTCTAGAGAGAATGGCCGGAGCCTGCTGCGTTGCACTGATTCAGCAGGCTGGAATAGGGGAGCTCAGCTGTACTAGAAGGGAACCTAGCTTGCTCAGTTTAGGAAAGAGAAGATAATCAAAACTGGAGATATCTACACAGCCGCAGTCATAAGTAAGTAGGTTTCATGTGAAGATTTATTAAACATCTGGGTTGGAGTCTGATCCCTAAACCAGCAATTTTCCTATAGCCTAAACAGAACTGAAGAAACAGGCTGTCTTTACAACACAGGTCCCAAGGCAGATGAGATGCCAACTCTGTGATCAGGCCACATGTATGGTAGGCTAGATGGAAGGTTTGGATGTTGCAGGTTGTGTTTGGTTATCAGCCTGGCTGCACTGTCATTCACCATCCTCTCTTCCCAAGCAGAGAAAATACAGCAGGAGATTGTGGGGTTTGTATTTTGCAGTTGTTGCTCACCTGCAGAGCAAGTGATGTTCAGAGACTTGCGTTTTGTCAGCTGTTGGTGTAAACTCCCCCTCTTCTGGCTCCCCTTGCACATCCAGTGAAACCAAATGTGTCTACAGCTTAAAGACTTATTTCCTTATCTGGTCCAAGTACTGTAAAGTGGTGGGCATGCCAAAACCAATTCTGGTTCCCTCCCAGCTGTTCCCACATAACTTAAAAAAATCCCAATCCAGAACCACCCTACTTTTGTTTGTCTATTTAAACTGGATCATCATAAGAGCAGTCAAGTGGGGCCAGGGGCACTAACTTATTTTCCCTGTCTTACAGTAAATGGCAGAGCACCAAACATTTCTAAGGATGTTATTCTGTAACCTTCTCTCAAACTTGCCCAAACTTAGCAAACCATAGAGTTCTTCAAAAGATCAGTTACAATTAGTGTTTAATTAAAGATTTTAAATCATTAAGTTCTTTAGCCAATTACAAAGTGCACGGATGCAGGGCTGGCTGAGCTAGAGAAAGAAAATGTGCAGTTATTAATGTTCAGGATTTCTGAAATAAAGCAGCCTCAGTTTGTTGGCAGCTCAGGTCACCCGCTGACTAAGGGATGTATTTTTTCATAGTCATTTATGTGCAGATGTTAAAATAGTTTAAGATAATTGTGAATCTCTCAGTTAAGGCAATTTTTGACTAGCTGTTTCTATACAGTTGCGTACTATTCCTAGAATTGCTGTGTCACGTGTTTAGACCTATTGTAAACAGCTGTAGAGAGGTATGGACGTAGTGAGCTTGACTGTCTGATCTCTTTAGGACATTGAAAATGATGGCCCTGAACCCTCTGACTGGGACAGATACGCTGCTGAAGAGTACGAGATTCTTGTGGCTGAGGAGTCTGGGAACGAACAGTTACAAGAAGGGTAAGCATAGGCGTTGCACTGCCCTGGGGACACACTTATTTGGCTCCAGCTGAGGTTTAGGAGGAGTGCGTGGATGCCGCTTTTAACAGAGGTAGTGGACTTACTGTTTGGACTAAACACTGGAACATGTGAAGCCTGAAACAGTTGCTCCAAAAGGTGTATTTGTCACAATGGACTGCTTTGTGGGCAGCCATTTGAATCAGCTACACACACTGCAGTAACGAAGATAGCTGGGAAAAAAGACAAAGCCTTTTACCTTTAGCAACCGTACCAAAAAGAAAAAAAAAGAAAAAAAAAAAAGATATATCAAATGACTTTTGGTAGTCTTGGCCACGTATTGACTGTGTCACACTATCATAGATTAGAAGCTGTAGCTCTGTTACATTTGTTATACCTAATGGAGACTTTCTTTAGTCAATTTTACTTTCTGATAAATTTCATGCCTGTTTAGTTGGTGCTCTTTATAAGCTGTGTTTCAATGTTTTCTTTCATTTACTAAGTTTGTTGAATGCTGTTGGTTTCTGTGGTACCTACCCTAATTTTTGCAGCCTTCTATAAAATTATGGAAACTCCAGCTATCCTTAGAGTCAATGAAATTTAGGCAGAGCAGTTGCTCTAGAATCTCTCTGTGCACAAGGGCTTCCTGCAGAGGCTCCTAATGAAGACTCAGTATAATTATCTTTTAGGCTTGTGTCTGTGTTAATATTTTCTTGAGAATATTTCTCTGGAAGTCTCCACATTAATATAACAAACATCTGAAGAATGCTTACCCCATGTTAATCTTGCATGGCTCAGGATTTCATCCATTCTTGAATGGTATTTGTAGAGCCATTAGAGTACCAAGAAGAGTGCATAATTTTCAAAACTTCCCACACTGGAAATTGCTTGGGATAACAGTAGCACCTACTAATTAGCCACAGAGATTTGCAAAGCTATTGAGAGCTATGTTTCCCTGGGGCCCTGTGATGTGCATCCAAACAGCTATGGGCTGTTCCCTCATCTCCTTTGAGCTGCCTTGCCTTTTTGTGGCCTTCACAATGGAAGATGAGGTAATGGGATGGATGATAAAATTGCTCTGTTCCCTGCAGCTGCTTTGCAACACCTGTGTCCCTAGCACAGAAAAGAAATAGGAGTCTGCCATAAAAGCTTTGCAGGACCACGAGTCTCCAAACTCACCAAAACCAGAGGAAAAGTGGGAGGTGATGTCAGATTTCTGAAGTCTGTCTGAAACAGCTCTGTGTCTTCCGTAAAGAGCATGTCAGCAACCTTGCTGCTTGCTTTTAAGAGCCCCTGAAAAGCTCTGTAGTCATGGCAGCAGGATTAGATCTCATTTGTGGAGCATAGCAACAGACCACGCAGGAAAAAAGGAAGGGAAAAAGAAAAACAAAGAGCAGGATGCCCAGACAAATTTGCCAGAAACAGGCTTTGAGTTTTTGCACATACATTATTTCTGCTGTCCTTTGAGGATGACAGAAACAGGGAGCAGGGACAGGACAAAACCAAAACAATTTATGAGCTCTATGAGAGACCGGAAGATTTTTGGCTAAGTTAGCTGGCAGAATATGAAACCTGGTATTTGTCTTATTAATGCATTTGAAAATAACCAACACTCAGCAATCATGGATGAAATTAGTAACTGTGTACCACATTTGTGACTTAGCCATGTCTGTAGCTTCTCTAGATGGAAGGTTTCTCAAACCAGTCAGTGTCTGTCTGGCTGTCTGCAGGCTTGCCCATGAGAGAGCACTGCTCCTGGAAGAGGAATTTCATCAAGACATAGTGGATACTCAGAGTGGCTGCAAGGATGCCGTGGCTGTATCGAGGGCTACAATCACCAAAAATAAGATAAGAGAAAGGTGTCGTCTTGCTCAAGACAGCAGTGAAGCGTCATGTTTCACTGGAAGCTTAAGCTGATCTGAAAACTTCTCTGCCATGCTGTGCTTTATACATCCGTCTGTGAGGTGAAGAGAGTCTGTTCCATGGTGAATGTATACACACAGTGTTGTCTGAAGGCAGAACCAAATGTTGAATCTGACCAACACAAGCTCTTAATGCAGATAAAAGCATTGGTTTTGCAGAAATCCTTTCTTGCAGTCCAGGCTATGGCCTGCCTGGTAGAAGTGGGCACCGCTTTGTTTGCTGTTCCAGAAACCAGTTTCAACCAGCTGATGTACCTGGAAGCCACAGTTGCCTTCATGGAAAGAGATTTTTCTCTATAGGAAGGGAAATAAGGAGGAAGAGGCCATCTTTTATCAGCTGCTGCTAGGAATGAATCCCCCTCATCTGAGCAGCAAGGAGCCAGGGCAGAATGCTGAGTAATCTTACTCAGGGGCAGATAGGGTGGGACAAAGACACAGGATCAGATGATGTTGGTGTAGGCAGCTTAGACTATTTTTCCTGTCTCCCTCCAGTCGGCTGATGGCTCAGTTGCTCACTTTTCGTGAACGCAGCAGCATAAGGACGGGAAAGGGAATAAGTACATCACTGAACTGCCTAGTGACAAAGTGTGTGTGTGTTTGCCAGAAGGAAGGACAAAGAATTTCCTGCAGTAATTTGCCTTCTCTTGAACAAGCCAGAGTTGCCATGGTTGACTCTTGAGGAATGGGTGTTTAATCTACATATCTACATGAGCCTATATGTGTATCTATGTGACTGTGAAGTTTTGAAACTGGCCTGGAAGGAGAGAAGGTGATTCTCTTTAGTGCTAATCTCGTGGAAGAGCTGTCCTTTGGATGTTTCCTAGCCACAAAAGTGGAAAGCATTTTTTCCAAGATGGGAAAGGCAGGCACTATGGAGCCATAAGGAGCAAAAGAGTGAAGTGGAAAAGTAACTCACATGGGAAAGGACAATAGGAAGCCCCTTTTGAAGAAGACATGAGAAGGTTTAGTCCAGAAGCAAAAGGCACTAGAAAAAAAATTATAATGGAGCTGCAAGTGCTGGTGAAGGTGCAAGATAAACAATATGGGAAAAAGGTCACATTCTACATATAGGGAAAAAAGGGAGAAAGCTATCAGTAACTGGTAAAATTGAGGGAAAAGGGGACACAAAGGAAACATTTCTAAGAACAGCATTCAAATGGAAATAAAAAGTTTTCCTCAGCTGCATCATCTTAAACCAAGGAGACTGAGGGAAAACTGAGGCGTGTACAAACATGCACAAGTCCATTCCCAGGTGGGAAGACAAGGGAGGCAGGGCCATGCAGCCTCCCGACAGGTACTGCTTTAGCAAGAAGTGGGCATATTCTGTACTTTTTGGTATCCTTGCATGCATGATCAGAACAGTTATTGATGTAGGATCCAGACCGTTGTTTCCTTCTTCCACTTATGAAAGGATCCAGAAGGTGGCATAATTACTAAGCAGGTGCTTTCCTTTCTGGAAGAGAAGATGAAGATGTCCAGGAAGATGTCTGTGCTGTTTTGTCTCTTCTTCACATAGGGATCAGCAGACTGTAGCACAGAATCCTCCCCACAACAGGACATACATACTGACAGGCTCCCAAGGATTTGCTGTGCCTGCATATGGGTTAGCAAAGGGAAAAACAGCAAAAGAAGTAGCAGACAATTCTTTCTCAGCACCATCCGTACTGGGGTATCAAAGGAGTTAACCTTTTTGCCACACAGTTTCAAACTAGAGCTATCCCTGTGCTTGCCGATGAAACACCTGCGGCAACATTTCCTTCATAAGCAGCATTGCTTTCAGAACAAAAGGAAGAATTTTAATTTCTTGGGAGCCCTGAAAAACTAACCTGTAGCGTGCTGAGACTGGAGGGAAAACATCTTAAGAACATAATTTCTTCAGAATGGGATGAGAAGCCCCAAAGTGATATCCTCTGCTGCAGAGCACAGAACCCAACCAGCCCAAATAGTGCAACTGGCTGGAGCTGAGAATTCACAGCTAAAACTCCCCAGGCCATAAAATGCTAAGACCTGGATATTAAACTTCAAACCAAGTGAGAGAGGAACATGACAGCATGACCACAATTGTTCTTCTGTGGATGTCAAAACATATCCTAAGCCAGAAGACTCTTTGGAAACCAGGTGTTTCTGAGCAAGCCAAATCTCCTCTAGGGCCTGGATGTGTGGCTGGAAGACTTTATTTCTACATTGAACTATTTAAGGCTACTGTGAGCTACTGACAATTGTTACTGAAACTGGACTCGAGTTTTATAACACTGAACACCAGTGAAAAGTTGTTTCGGAACTTACAAATGAGGATGGATGGGAGCAGTCACATCAGCTGCCAGAATACTGATTACTGCAGCACTGTTTTCAATGCCTTATAAATACCCTCCTCAAGGTTAACAACTTGCATGCCTCTCTTGTTTTAGCCAGCTGCCTTAGTAGCCACTGAAATAACTTACCTGAAAATGCTCTCACCAAAATATGGCTTTTAAAGACATACCTTTTATCTTTGCAGATCATTTGAAGAAGACTATGACACAGATGAAGTCTTATCTCCCCCTGAAACTGGAGACAAGTCAGACAAACTAGTTATCTCAGATCTCTCAGCATAGAGAAATTGAAGACATTTAATCAATATCTTTCAAACTGGATAGCATTCAGTCCCGAGACACTTAGGGATTTTTTTTTTTCTTAACTCCGTCATTGGAGCAATGTGCTTTATTTTGTACACTGTAACTTGAGAATCCTTTTTCTCTTCCTGTGTAATTGCAATAAGGTAATTTCTATAAAAAGGCTTTTTACAATGTGTTATTGTGCACGCTCATTAAAAATGGTGATTGCACCTTGTTTTGTTTATATATAAATTCTGTTATGTCCCCAGATGTGCAATAAATGCCAGCATCTAATGATTAACTGTAACAACTGCATGCAACATCTACAGTGGTCGTTTCTCAGTCAGTTTGGTCCTGTCCACTTGACTTCATACCAGGAGTGACAAAAGAGCTGCCCAATTAATTTAAATGTATGTTGAGAAATCTTTTAAAGTGCAAGTCACAATGAAGTTATCCTATTTTTTTTCTTAGTGTCCTGGAAACCAAGGCAAAGTGCCTGCACGGGGGGAGAGTGAAGTCCCCTTTTGTGCTTTAAACCACACGCTCTTACAGTTGATACTGGATGTATTTTACTTCTGTGCATCTGTGGACAGTTAAAGCACCACAAGATGCAATGTTTCTCTATTGAGAACTACATTTGAGATACACTTAACATTTCTACATATTCTCTTGTGCATAGATCTTCCTCAGGCTAGTGTTTTGTCTCAGTAAAAGTGTTTTCTAGCATGTTTACAAAAAAAGACAAATATGCTGTTCAGCTGGTGTGTTGGAACTGCTGTGTACCAGTTCTGTCCATCCCCTGTGTTCTTCTCCTCTGTTGTATTACTAACCTGTAGCCTTCTCCAAGAGACTTAGCTGAGGTGATAAAAACCCAAACCCTAACCTAGTATGCTAAATTTCTGTTACTAGAGGGATCCTTTAACTGGTAAAGGAATTAGTCTGTAATATTGCCAAAAATTTATTTTCCACCTGTGAAACAGGCCCCAGTCTCTGAGAGGAAACACTAACTAATTAATTCTTGCTTTAAGTGCAAAATTAAACTGACTTTCCCCATAGAATCACAACTGGTGTCTCTAGCAATAGCACACACTCTGCTGCTAGAGCTGTTGCTCCTTGCCTAGCAGCTGTCTGTGATTCGGCACAGAGGTGATTGTATCGTATTCCTACCAGTCCGCAATTTTAGTCATTGCAGATACACAAATAGATCTGGTACTTACCTTCTCCAGCTTGTGACAGATTTCAGCTGTCATATTTTATTTCAACTATTGTAATTGTGCCTAAATATGTCACACTTGGTTGGCACGTATATACTATATTTCCTCTCACCTTGCTGTAAGAATACCAAACCATGCCTCCTCAGGCTGTCCCTGTGTGAATCCCTGCCAGAACACCCCAGAGCTGCCAGTGCTGGGATCGGATCTCCAAGCAGGCACCTCCTTGCCTGCACTAAAGGCAGAACCCAGCCAGTGAATAGATAACTTGTACATGCACACGCACACTGTTAGCCTGGTGTATTTTGTACATAGAGATGCTAGCACAATGGAACGTTAATCCCTAGGTGATACCTCTTAAGTGCTACTGTTAATAACCAAATAATTGGCTGATCACTACAATGCGGCTTCAACTTTTCCAGGAGCCTTTGAAGCGTAACACCTGCCTCCCGCTGCCCAGGTGGGATATACTGCTGCCTTGTTGAGGTTAGTAACTTTCTCCTCAGGATGAAAATCTGAAAGAGAGGAAGTTTTCAGTTATACTGGCTGTGGAGATATATTCTCTTTTTCTTGAACAAAGCTGCTGTTTTATTCAGATGCATATACACACCCCAGGATCCTGGATTTGATATTTGGGAAACTTCTGGATGCCCAGCTTATTACCTCGCAGTGCCTTTGCTAACTTCTATTCCATAATAAAAGATGTAAGCAGGGAGCACTCTAACTAAACCGGGATAAGACTCTTTCAATGCAACAAGCACGTAAGAGCGGCTCTGTTCAACACCAGGGCGTTTGAATCGCATCTCCATCATCACTGTAACCCTGAGGGGAAAAGCTTTACTGAGGATGATTCCACAAAGGCCCAAATGTAGAAGAAATCAGGAAATGATTGATTGCAGAAACCAACATAGGATGGAAGTCTCACAACCACTAATTGTAACCAGCTCTGTTTGCTCTTTACCTGAGAGAACCAAGGCAAAGCAGCTCACCTCTTTGCTATCTGGGTCCAGAGTGGTCTTTTAGTTTGATAAAATTTTACACCTCTCCAAAGACGAAGATTCCTCAAAGGAACAAGAAGAACCTGACCCCGTTCTAGGCTGAAATTGAACCTTTATGGTACTTCAGCATTGCTAGCTTTTAACTCCCTAAGTGGCAGTATTGGAATGTCCAGTTTGTCAATCATGTAAAGTCTCATTCCAGAATAATTTAGTGATTGTCTCTTTAAGGTTTTAACCTGGGATAGCCCTGACACCTCCAAGAAAAGAAGCTTTCCTAGTGCTGTACAGAACAAGATAATAATACAGGTTGGAAGGGACCTCTGTAGGTCTCTATTCCACCTCCTCACTGAGAGGCAGCCAGCTTCAAAGTTAGAGCAAGTTTCTCAGGACCTCATCTACCTGAGTTTTGAAAAATGCCCGTAGATGGTGATTCTACAGCCTCTCTACGTAGTACATTTCTTCCTCCTCTCCTCCCTATGGGAGTTCAGTGTGACATCCTTTTCCAGGAAAGATGTATATTCCCAGGAATGCATGATTTCTTTTTCACACAAGGAGGGAGTTAGACAAAGGACTCGAGGACTTTCCAGCTGAGCAAGTGACACCCTGTTCTCAAGCACCGGGTGTGTGTTCAGATGCAGATGCAGCCCATGATGGAATGTGAAGAGCTGGTACTCCAGCAACCCTTGGTGCATCGCTCCTTTGGTTTGGCATTTCTGTTCTCACTAGGTCATACCCCCCTGAGCTGCCTTCTGCTGTTCCTGCTCTCTCTATCCACCCACCACTTCAGGATCTTCCCTCTTTCTCCTCATATGCCTTTGGCAGAGGAGCTTTAACTCAACCCATCAAATCAATTCAGACTTCCATCTCACACCACACACCAGTCTGCCTGAATCAGTGCCTTTTTTTTTTTTTTTTTGTAAGTCAGTATCCTGAGCCTGCTAAAAATCACCTTTTCAGGATTTTGAACTGAGAAAGGAGCTCATAGCTGCTCTGCTGAGCCCTTTGGCCCCCCAAGGCCCTCTCTTTTACAAACAGAGGTTCACTGCTGTTGTGACAAAGCAGAGTGATTCGAAACCCAATTCACGCTTTCTAGTAGGTCAACACAACCAGCTAATCGAAGGGGAAAAAAAAAAAAAACCAACCACAGCTTACAGCAAATGTTTTGCCTTATATGTGAATATAAGGACAAGCTATAGCAGCCACTGCTAGC